AATCCGAATCTCTGCCATTTGGGCGGCAATGGCTCGCTGGCCGGCAGCGAGTGCAACGAGGAGCGACAGCTGGAGCAGGCCTCCCACTCGAAGATCACCGTCATCGTGCTCTGCATCTTCTTTGGCAGCTTGCTCAGCTCGGGCATTGGCCAGACGGCGGTGGCCACGCTGGGCATACCCTACATCGATGACAATGTCGGCAGCAAGCAGTCGCCCATGTACATGGCCGTCACCATTGGCATGCGCATCCTGGGACCCGCCTCCGGCTTCATCTTTGGCAGCTTCTGCACGCGCTGGTACGTGAACTTCTCGAATCCGGGCTTCGATGCCAGCGATCCGCGCTGGATTGGCGCCTGGTGGCTGGGCCCCGTGGCCATTGGCAGCCTCATGCTCTTGACCTCCATTGCCATGTTCTCGTTCCCCAAGCAGCTGCGCGGCAAGCAGCAGACGCAGGCACAGGCTGTAGCCGCTGCAGCAGCTGCAGCCGAAACGGAGGAGAAACCTAAGCTCAAAGGTGAGTGTGAAGAGTCCCTTAAAGATCATTAGCTGATGCATCCTGCTCTGTAGATTTCCCCAAGACAGTGCGCCGGCAGCTGAGCAACGATATATTGATGTTCCGCACTGCCTCGTGTGTGTTCCACTTGCTGCCCATTGCCGGGCTGTACACGTTCCTGCCCAAGTACCTGGAGACACAATTCCGACTGGCCACCTACGATGCCAACATGATTGCCGCCTTCTGTGGCATTCTGGTCATGGGCATTGGCATTGTCATCTCCGGGCTGTTCATTCTCAAGCGCAAGCCCACCGCTCAGGGTGTAGCCGCCTGGATAGCCTTCACCGCTTTGGTTTACTCCGCTGGCATGATCATTCTGATGTTCATTGGCTGCAGCATGGATGACTTTGCTGGCTACAAGGCAGGCACTGCCCACAGGTGAGAGTTGGGAACTTTTCTTAGAACTTTGGGCAGCTCTTAGTGATTTTTTGTGTCTCTCTCTCTCTCTCTCTCTTGCCAGTCCCGCTCTGATCGAGCCCACTTGCAGCGCAGCAATCAATTGTACCTGTGATAAGGAGAACTTTGCACCGATCTGTGCCGATGGTACAATGTATATATCGGCCTGCCATGCCGGCTGCAGCACCAGCTCGCTGCGGCCCAGCGATAATCGCACACTCTACTCGGATTGTGCTTGCATTCCAGATGGTAAATCTCAAACAAGAATATATTTTATTTTACGCTAATGGATGATAATCTTTGCAGCTGCGGAGGCGGTCAACGGTTACTGTGATAATAACTGCAAGAACTTCATCTACTTTATATTGATCTTTGCCATTTGTGTATTTATGCATTCCACCTCCGAGGTGGGCAGCATGCTGCTCGTCATGCGCTGCACACATCCCAAAGGTGAGGCTCATATAATCCCTCAATCAATCCAAATTCAAGCCCAAGTTCTGCTCTACATTGCAGACAAAGCCATGGCCATGGGTGTCATACAGTCGGCCATTGGGCTATTTGGGAATGTCCCTTGTCCCATCATCTACGGCGCTGTGGTGGACTCTGCCTGCCTCATCTGGAAGTCGGTGTGTGGCAAGCATGGTGCTTGCTCGCTCTACGATGCGGATACCTTCAGGCATTATTTCTTAGGTGAGCAAAAGGAGACCGACCATTCAGCAAAACGTACTTAACATTATTTAATCTTTAAACTCTCTTGCTCTGGCAGGCATCACGGCTGGCATTATGTTTCTGGCTTTTCTCATGGATCTGGTGGTGTGGCGCAAGGCGCATCGCATTGACATTGCACCCGAGGATCCACAGGAGGGTGGTGCAGCAACGGCCAATGGCCGCTCCCTGGATGTGTCCGAGTCAAAGCAACCCATTAGCCCGGCGCCAGACACCACTGTTTAGATCTGGGATCGAAATGGGAACAGGACGGGACACAGACACAAGCATTGCAGGAAACTCTGCAAGATTTCCAATAAACGTTAAACCTTAATTGTTAATTAGTTATCATTTTGTCTAGTTGTTTAGCCTAGTGCAAGAGTTATGTAATTAGTTATACCCTCCACCCCTCTACCCTACTCTATCCCATATACTCGTAGGAATTATGGTAAACGATTTTGAAATCTGTGTAAATCTCAACGTTATAGTCGAAAAATGGATCGAAGCAAATAATAATCTAATTGTAGCAAACACTATCGAGATGCTATCGATATAATGATCGAAGATCGATAGCCAAAATGGCCACAAACAAAAAACGAGATAAATCTACTCTATAAATTGTATGTATAACTGATGATGTATGATGTATGTTTTATACTTATATTTGTATGTGTAATTACGCGTTATATACTAGACATTTACATACATATACATTGATGTACATTTATGCATGTATGTAATTGCAACCTATCTGTGGTAGTTAAATTTTAGTTAAAATTCAAATTAAATGTCTAAGTTTGTCATAAAACAGCAGCAGCAACAAGAATATACGAAAAGAAATTAAATGCAAAACTATATACACACAAATAATTTGCAGTGTGAGTGAGTATTATTAAGGCAAGTGTCTGCAAGAGAGACTACAAGATGGATCAGTTCCTGCTGTCCCTGCTGCTCATTCTCCACACCATTTGTGGGCATCTTTTACCTGTCCATTCCATTCCCAAAAATTCTTCTATAACTTCTTGGCACTCCCCGAAAACTACATGAAAACGCTGCCCACATTTTGTATACCAAAAAAGTTTTATATTTTTTTGATTTAATTATAACAATTTTCAATATTTAAAAAATGCTTAAACATTTGCGGATGCCATGCCGCCTTTCGCCTAACAAATTGTGTCATACAGAAACGATAAAAGTGGAAAAATGTTTGGGCTATTAGATGGAGAGGCTCTCGCTCTCTCTGTAGTACAACGAAAACAGTATGGGTGCGTAGGGACAACTTGGTCCCCTAAGTAATGAAAAATAAAGTCATGTCAAAAATCAGCTATCGGGCGACCAGAGCTTAAAGGTTCGATCAAATGATGTGGTGGCTATATACTGCGAATTGGGTGATATATCCACGGATATGACCTTGTTGTCGTGGCCCTGCAGCGTCTTGAGCGGCTGCCAGGTCTTGTTGGACCAGATTTTGGTGGTCGAGTCGTAGGAGCAGGTGACCAGAAAGCTGCCACAGTCCTGCTGGTACTTGACATCCGCTATGAGATTGGTGTGCGCGGGAATGGTGTAGACGGGCTGTCGTCTTCGCAGATCCCAGATCTTGCATGTGTTGTCCTGCGATCCGGTGGCAATGTGGAATCCATTCGGCGAAAAGTCCACCCCAAAGACAGCGCCCAGGTGGCCTTCCAAAAACATGATGCAGCGTCCTGTGCGCAGATCCCAGACGCGACCGAAGGCGTCCAGGCCGCCTGTGACCAGTACACTGCCATCGGACTGGTAGGCCAGACAGTGCACCGGCTTGGCATGCCCCTCCTGATGCAGCACCTCCGTCTTCTGCTCCAGATCCCAGAGGCGCCAACTGGAGTCGTAGCAGGCGGTGGCCAGAAAGCGTCCAGATGGATGGAACGCCACCTTGGACACCCGATGCGGCATGTGGCCTGTGATGTCGGCAATTGACTCCTCGTTGTTGAAGCCCCACAGCTTGACGGCGCCGTCGTGGCCACCGGAGGCCATGGCCACCACATTCTCCTCATCCGCCTTGACGCCCGGCCGCAGGGCCACGCCACCGACATAGCTGGCGTGGCCACGCAGCGTCTGCTTCAGCTCACAGTCGGGTACGCTCCACAGCTTGCAGAGGCCCGACCACGATGAGGTCAGCAGCAGCGTGGAGTCCTGGCTGAAGGCGGCACCGCTCACGGGCCGCGTGTCGCCCACTTGCGAGCAGAGTGGGGCCAGAGACTGAAGCTTCTTCTGCATCTCCACCATGCGACCAGCCCGCGTGGCACTGGGCACATCGAGCGCCTCTTGCGCACGCATCAGGCGATCGCGGGCACGCGGCAGCGAGTAGTCGGCCAGCCAGAGGCGTGATATCCGCAGTGTCTCGGGTCCCTCGTGGTACCATGTGGCCTCCTGTTCGCGCTGCTGCATCTTGCGCTCCTCCTCCTCGGACTTCTTGTTGAGCGCATTGTCGCCGAGATTGGCCAGCAGCTCCTTGAGGCGGCGTCGCCTCTCCGCCGGACCCTCGCCGAAAAAGCAAATCGGCTCGTTCAGCTGCCGGAGATTGCTCTTGATCTCCGAGTCGTCCGTGGACACGTTTATCTGTCGGGCTCGCTTCTTGCGCTCGAACTCTTCCAGGAGCGCCACCTTGTCGCGCTCCATCTCCGTCTCCAGATCGAAGTAGTCATCGTTGATTTTGTTGGCCAACGAGGCCGCCGTGGGTGGTGGGAGGCTGGCTTTTGTGTTGCTTACCTTCTTGCTGGGCTCCTCGTAATCCTCATCCGATTCAATGTCCTCCAGCTGGGCAGGGGTTGCTGTGGTCGCTGGAGGAGCCGACCCCGCCCCAGATGTTTGGGCCGGCGTTGTGCCCGAGGCGGCTGTGGTTGTTGTTGCTGCTGTTGCCCCAGACGACGCGCCACCGGCATTTTGCCGCTTGCGCTCCGTCTCCTCCAGCGAGCCGTAGTGAATGGTACGAGGCCGTTTAATGTATTGTATATCGTCATCATCGGACATTATATGCTCCTAATCGAAAAGAATTAATTTTAAACTAAAATTTCGCCGAAAAACGAAAAGAAACAACAAAAATATCTATCAATGAAAACGTTTTTGGGGTAGTGTGACCGCGGATCTATAAAATATGCCGTAATATACCGATTTGTAGGATGAGTGTTGGGTAGCGCAACAGGGGATGGAATCAGTGGTGAAAAACAAGTGTGACCTACAATTTTCGATGTTATCGCGGTCTTTTCACCTCTATAAAAAAGCTATGCACCACTTTAATGCACTTTTGCTGCTGGCAAGACTGAAATGCATATTCGGTATATTTGTGATGGTATATTTTCGTAGATAACTCCGCGGTCACACTGCCAGCACACACAGAAAATATATTTCCAGGGGTAAAAAGAATTGAAAATTTTATATTTTCAACATACAATCCCTTTGAATTCGCTGTCGAAAGTGTAATTTAGACGGGAACATTCAGGATGAGCGCACCGAGCAATAAAATGTCGGCAACGGATCAGATGCGAGCAATGCTGGACCAGTTGATGGGCACCACCCGTAACGGGGACGAGCGACAGCTGAAGTTTTCGGACACACGCGTCTGCAAGTCGTTCCTGCTGGACTGCTGCCCCCACGACATACTGGCATCCACACGCATGGATCTCGGTGAGTGTCCCAAAGTGCATGATCTGGCTTTTCGTGCAGATTACGAGAGTGCGGCCAAGTCGCGTGACTTCTACTACGACATCGAGGCCATGGAGCATCTGCAGGCGTTCATTGCGGACTGCGACCGACGCACAGACTCTGCCAAGCAGCGGCTGAAGGAGACGCAGGAGGAGCTGACCGCCGAGGTGGCCGAGAAGGCCAATGCCGTCCACGCCCTGGCCGAGGAGATTGGCAAGAAGCTGGCCAAAGCCGAGGCCCTGGGCGAGGCCGGTGAGGTGGAGGACAGCATGGAGTTGATGAAGGAGATCGACGAGCTGCGCAGCAAGAAGATCAAGGCCGAGCACGAGTACCGCACCTCAATGCCCGCCTCTACCTACCAGCAGCAGAAGCTGCGCGTCTGCGAGGTCTGCTCCGCCTACCTGGGCATCCACGACAACGACATCCGGCTGGCGGACCACTTTGGTGGTAAGTTGCACCTGGGCTTCCTCACCATTCGGGAGAAGCTGATCGAGCTGGAGAAGACCGCTGCCCCGCGCAAGGTGGAGCTGAAGCGCACGGGTAAGATACCAGATCGTGACGAGGAGGGCCGAGGCGGCAGAAATCGCTACTTTGTAGGTGGCCGAGAGCTGGACCGACGTTCCCGCGTGCATCGCTCACGTTCCAGGGAGCGCCAACGACAGCGAGAGTCGGAGCGCGGCGACCGGGACCGAGAGCGTGGCAACAGCAGCAGCAATGGCAAGGCCGAGGGCAGCACTGAGCGTTCCACCAAGGACGCTCCAGAGGGACCAGATCGAGGCAGTGGCGGCGGTGGACAGCGCGGCGGACGCGACAACGATCGCATCAATCGCAACAATGACGGCCGCGACCATCGTGACCGAGAGCGCGATGGACGACGGGACAGGGATCGTCACATGCGCAACGATCGTGGACGCTTTGGTGGCGGCGGCGGTGGAGGAGGAGGCGGCGGCGGCGGCGATCGCAGGGATGACAGGCGTCGTTCTCGTTCTAGAGATCGATCGCCGCGTGGCGAGAGGCGCAACTACAATCATTTCGCTGGCAACAATCACAACAACAATCATGGCAGCAGCAGCAACAACAATCACCACAACAACAACAACAACAGAAGGCGATCCTACTCGAGGGAGCGCTACCGCCGTTAGGACAGTTCCCCCACCCTGCGCACGTACGTAGCAATAATCCGAAAACAGAAACAGCAAAAAAAAAAAACAGTCACTACAATCTGAAACTAAGAGAAAAACTCTGAACTAAATAGCAACAAATACCACAAAATATTGAATTAACGAAGAGCCAGCACATCCAGAACAGACGTGTGGGAACGATGAACTTTACATATTTGTATATTGTTAATAATCTCTTATTTTTGATCTTAGTCTCGCAACCACTTAAGACCGAATAAAGCCTAAGATCTGTTAACCGCAAAAACCCCAAAAATGCAATCCAAAAAAATATATAAAAACGAATCCCGACCGAAAGCGAGAGAGAAGCATACATATAAATGAGATTTGATAGTCCCCTCGATCCCTCGTTGAGAGAGGTTTTTGGTATGTAGAGATAAAACCCAAATGTAGAAGAACCAAACCCCTCCAACCTACACCCCACAAGAACGAAAACCACACGCAGTGTTGCCAATTGTAGTATAAACGAATATTTGATGTTGTCTGTAGAATCACATATAGAACTGGGAGAGAAGAGCTCCGTGAACTGTCCGAACTGCCAAGAGAGAGAGAGAGAGAGAGAGCCATTCCTTAAATTGAACTAAAAATGTTACTGATAATATAAAGGATAGATAAATATTTATGAATAAGCTGTAAAGGAGGGACCTTTTTATATACTAGTTGGTAACACTGTAAGAACCAACCCATTCGACTCGTATTATACTCGTAATATTCCCCCAGCTCTTAGCTCTCTATTCCCATCTCTCTTTATTGATTCCAACCGAGGCGAATCGCTGTACGAGCTTTCTGGGGTAAGCCTCAACCATATATAAACAACAACAACAACAAACTCTTTTTCTCTATCTGTAATTCTTCTCTACTTGAAGTTCCAACAATTTTGCAGCCCACACTCAGCGTTGCTTTTGGGTACGTATTGAGTAAATAAATATATGCAGCAGAAGTACGTCCCACGTCTAGCATTAACGTTAGTGTTGTCTTGGCAGATACATTTATCCTCGTTCGTTCGTACATAGTTAATATAATCAATCCAGATAATCCAAATAATCCAATACGATAGCTTTGGGTACGTATCTACTCCGGCCGTTGAGCGTGAGAAAGGGTTTCTCCCTTGTGTTCTGTATTTCGTTTCGTTTTCCGTTGGGTACGTATTAACGTTAGAGAATTGATATATGCTAAAGATCTAGAAGATCGCAGCTCTGAGTGGTACGTATGTATACTGTATAATATTTATATATACAAAAATACTCAACCCAAAGCAGACAGACAGCAGTCTATGTAGGGGTTGTCGTATCGGAGTTGCAGTTCCCAACGTACGTATTCCCTTCACTCTACTCTCATATTCTCTCTCAACCGAAAAGCAAAACAAAAACTAAGAAAAACCCAAATGAAAATATGTATTCTTTTTACCATAAACTCTCGTAGCGGTTTAGAGGAGTTTTTTAACATACAATAATCACGAATTTCTCTATGGTCTGCACTGATCTGATCTGCTCTGCAAAATGCCAGCCATCTGTGAGTATTCGGGTCGTCAACTACACAACAAAAAACTAAAAACAAAAAACTACAATAACTATAATATAATATAGCAAACACTATAATCAATATACAAATATCCAATTATTGTTCGGCCTGGGTCTGGGCTTTTCTGCTAACGTTTTCGTTCGTTCCGTTTCTTTCGACAGCCAAGGATTTGTAGTGGGATTATTGTGAGAGAGGGAGCTACAATATGTATGTATGTATAACTAATATATATCCCATAACTCTTCGAGTACCGGGTATAAAAAGAGAGAGAGAGATTGTTTGTGTTTTCGCCTAATTTATCAGTGGGTAAGAATTTATCAATCAATCACAAAAATAAAAATCGCTAACTCCATTTTCTATCTGATCTGTCTTATACATTTGTCTCTTACTTATTACCCCAATCCAATGCCTATTGTTTTTATCTACTCTTAAGTGAAATATATACACACACACACACACACACACACACACAATCTTAAGTTATTCACACAAAAACACACTCAACGTCAAATCTATATTAACTTTTATCTTTATGAATCTAAGTGGATTGTAATAAAATTGCACTGGAATTATAGTGACATCGTCGGAGTTTTATTTTAGCTGTTGGAAATGCAATGGGAACTGATGCCTTCTACATATTTTCTTCTAGGAACCTGCGTGAGAGCATAAAACATATCGTGTAGAGATAAGCCAAATCCGTGGGATTTACCCTCTTTTGTATGCTTACCTGCACTCTTTTGAGATCTACTGTGTACTCTAGGTAGTGAACATCCGTCATAAAGGTGTGTTGAGCTATAAAATATGAAAAGTTTTGCCATACGTCTAGGTGAAGTTTGCATGTCTGATTTCAATTTGGAATCAGATCTACTTTGATGTTAGCTCAGGGAATTTTCGTGTAGAACTAGAAAATCATTAAAAAACCATCTGAATAATTTATCCATTCCGCCATTAATTAGCTCACTCCCCGAACTAATATTTACATGTATCTGAAATCTGTTCCACACTTTATTGAGTGACCGACCACATCTGTAATACCACCCAAGAAAAAATAAACACATGCGACGAGGCAGAATTTTGTTTCTTCCATGAGAAGGCTTCTCGGTGTTGTTTGTATTTTAAATATTGCTGTTTAGGTCTGAAAGGGCTTTTGCTTTTCAGTTTGGTGTTGTTGTTGTTGTTTTTTTGTATATATCTTTTGCGTTTTTTTGATTTGTTTTGTTTTTGTTTTCTTGTTTCTGCTTAATTTTGAGTTTTCCAAAAGAGAATTTCTGTACAATTTGTGTTTGTCTTTTCGTTTATGTATAGATATATATACGATACGTATTTAAAATTAGGTCTTCATTCTTGTATGTTTAACAATTTCAATTGGCCCGAAAGATAAATTTTAAATATTTCTTTTTTACAATTTTAAAGCGTTTTCGAGTGCCCTCCCAAAAAGTGCCTGGATTGTTTTTAGACATTTTTGGTGTTTGGTTTCTGGGTTGTTCTCTGTACTGTTGTTGATGTTGTTTTGTTGATTGGAAAACCTTCTCAAATGCTCCCAACGCTTCTCCACTTTGTACATCCTTGGTTCAAGATCTTGTTTCTCGTGTCTTGACTCTCCTAACACCTAACTCAAAACAGTCGTTGCGGACGGGGGGGGGGCTTGGGGCTGTGGGGGCGTCCGGCTATAACTCTCAGTTACACACTATCACTATAATGCATGGAAATCTAGGAAATTGAATTTGCTCTTGATGATCATCAACATGAATGGACTTTAGAAACTAATTTAATTTAATTACTATTTATACAACAATTCATCTCGCTTAAGTGTTTAAGTTTAATTGTATTTTGTTGTTGGTTAAAAATTTTGAACTATTTGATTGGATTTAACTTGATATAAAATCGATCATCGATCTACACTTTAGAATTTACATTTAAATATTGCTGTTCGGTTTTTCTGCTGTTTAATTTGTGTTGGTTTTACTCTCTCCAGTATTCGATGGGTCAAAAATTATGCTCTCTCTCCGACGACGACGACGACGCATTATCGCTTATATAATAGATCTACTACGACAATATATAGAAAGTGTATCCTTTGTCTCTCTGTATGGTATAGTAGGGTATGGTCTGTGGTTTGTGGTTTTAACATTTTTCTTTTTAACTCTTGCGGGAATCTCTTACGAACTAACTTAGCTACTGATTTGATTTTATACTTGAATTTGTATTCTGCTTTTTGTATAGTACAATTAGTTGTTGATTTTAGTGCTTAAAATTAGACATTGAATTTGGCATTTATTGCGCACTCTGCTCCACTCTTCACAATAATTAACATATGATCTTTTCTATAGAATTGATTATTTACAAACGATTTGTTATGCTGAATATTTGACGTTTGAAGACCACTTTTAAAGGCTGTATGATGTATGGTGGGGAATGGGGTATGCACATAAAATTAAAGGGGCATTAAAATAGTTACTTAGTAAAATGAGTTCCCAAAGCTTTTGAAACTTGTTTTAAATGCTGGACTAGCTTTTCAGAACAAAGGGTGAAATAATCGAATTAAAGATTTACAAAAAATTAAAGTTAAAAGAAATAAACTTAATTATGTTGATAAAAGTGATAAGATTGGCAGCTGTTTTGATTAATTAAAGTGTTGTAAGGCAAAGAAAAGAATAATTACTAAAATATATAATATAGAAAGGGGGTGGGGGAGTGGTTTGGTGTGTGTAAACTTATCTTAAGTATCTATATGTATACGCGTCGTTGAACAAAATGTTGAAATCGAGTTAGATATGAGAGTTAAACAGATAGACAGATAGATAAAGAGAGAGAGAGAGGACTACTAAGAGCTAGATTCACAGGAAACTGATGGACTGATGGAACATCTCATCACAAAAGTGTTTGTGTGTGTGTGTGTGTGTGGATGAGTGTGTTTTGTGTAGTGTTGTTCTTGTTGATTGATTGATTTGATTGCTGTTGTTGTTGTTGATGTTGCTGTCGGTTATGTTGTTGTTTCAGTCCTTTGAGTGAATCGGTATCACATATTTATGTCCATACGGACTTTTGTACTTAATGCCACAATCACGATAGAATTTATCCGGTATACCTAAGTTACATAAATACAATTTGCCACAATTGTTCGTTGATGAAGGGGTTGCTGGTTTGGCAGTAGCTGCCACTGCTGCTGCCACAGCTGCTGCTGCTGCTGCAGCCGAAGATGTGCTCGGTAGGGGCGTTGGTGTAGCTGCAGCCGACGATGATGATGATGCTGTTGCTGCTGCTGCTGCTGCTGTTGATATGCCATTCAATGGTAGTATAGGTAATATAGAGTATTTGATAGCCACATCATTAATACCACACGGTGGCGGATCTATGGCAAGCACTGAGGCGCTGCAGAGACAAAGAGAGAGAGAGAGAGTAACCAATAAGTTTGTAGATCGTATCTCCCACCCGTAAGACTATTTACCGATTCAACCTGAGCCAATTCTTGATTCCATCCGATAAAGTAGCGGTGTTAGTCGATAATATCACAAGATCTGGCGTGGGCAAAGCTGCAAACAAACACAGGGAAAGGTAATGTATGCTTAAATTAGGAGTTTGTTAGTGCTTACCATCCACGGCATGGACTATGACATTGTCTGTGGCCTTAAATAAGGCAATCTCCACGCTTTGGCCCACCAGCTGCGCCTGCTCCACATACAGCAACACGGTCAGGCCGTGAGAGGCCAGCTGTCGACCCGTTGCGGCTCCAATGTTAATTGTTCTGCAGAAAGTCGGGATTAATGTTTTGATTTTTGGGGGGCTGCTCCCTTTGCTCACCTCATATTCTTGACGCCATCACAGATGATGGCTATCTTGGGCCACTGATGATTATTGGCCGGCGTCAGGCGTCTAGCACCGCCCAGCAGTGTGATGGCCAGGTCGCTGGCACCGCGCGCCAATATATCAATCTGACGCTGCAACGACAATCCCGACTTCTCGGCACACAACTCAATCTTGCTGCGCACAAATGCCGGTATGGTTGGTATGATCAGGCCGTCGTCAGTCACAAAGTCCTTGCTGCCATCAAAAATGCTCTCGATCTGTCGCAGCTGAAGCGGCTTGCTGGCCAGAATGTTCTCGTCGTGCCGATACTTTTGCTCCGGCTGATGATGATGCTTCACGGGTTGACGCGCCGCATCGGGCCGCGTCGACTCGATGTTCTCCCAAATGGCCTGTTTGTCGAACAGCGCCAGATTACCCTCAAAATCAAACTCCTCCTGCAGCAGTGGATCATCCGCCTCGCTGCCAAATGTCTGCCGCATGCTGCTCTCACGTCGCACTCTATTTCGCTTATTCTTGCCATTTCCATTTCCATTCCCGTTGCCATTTCCATTACTATTGGTGTAAGAGCCGTTTCCGTTGCCATTGCCATTTCCATTCCTTCTGCCGTTGCCATTTCCATTTCCATTACCGTAGCTGGAAGCTGCCTGCGGCTGTTTGTAGTAACCATCGCCGTTGCTGATGATATCGATGGGCCTGCTGCTGGCTGCCGCCGCTGCTGCCTCGCCACTGCCACTACTACCGTCCGCACTGCTGCTGCAGTAGCTCTCCCGATTGTTACCAATGTAGACAGCTGCAACAGCGGCCCCGAGCTTCACCTCCACCTTGGGCGGTATCATGTTGCCAAAGAATGCCGCCACACTATTCGGAGTCACCGACATTTGCTGTTGCTGCTGCTGCTGCTGCTGCTGCTGAGCGCTGGGCGCACGCGAGTTTTGCGGCGTTCTGTGGGGGAATGTCAAGAGAATTTCAAGATTAAAGTAAAGCAAAGCTAATGGAAAATAGCCCAGGCTTATCGTTTACACTACACTTTATGTAGGGGTATATTGGCTCTGCACAAGCCTGGGATCATTTATAAATTAAGAGCAAAAATAGTGGGCAGAAATGAGGAAACTAAAACGGGAATAAATCGTACCTCCTTGTACCATTGAGTCCATTCGCCTCCATGAGCTTTAGTTGGTGCATTTTATCGCTAAGCGTCGAAGTAGCTGCACTGCCAGCACCATTTCCACTTCCTTCTCCTCGCCCATAGCCATTCGCCTTGCCCCTGGATGCCAGTGGCAGATCCTGTTCTTGCTGCTGCTGCTGCTGCAATTGAAGTTGTTGTTGTTGTTTTTGTTGTTGTTGTTGCTGCTGCAACTGCTGCTGCTTGCCGAGAATATTGG